TATTCCAAGGGGGATAAGCTGTTTTATTTTGGTGAGAGCAGAGTCCCTGCACACTTAACGCTCTGCTGTTTTCTCATCCAAGTCTCTTATGTCATATCAAATAGGTCACTGCACTGAAATCACAGCTACATTTTAAATAGATTGTGTCAACTTTATGAATGCATCATAAAATGGGAACTCCATAACTTTCTATTGGCATAGTTTTACTGTTGCAATTTACCATTGTAATGGTACTATTTAGGAAACAATGAACGAACTGCAATGAGATAATTAAGGGATAATCTCCATTACTTTGAAGTATACAAAGCAATAAACAGCTGCCAAAACTGATTAATAGCTGAGGTGAAGTTAAGACGTTTAATCAATCTAATAAACCATTTATTGCAAGAATATAGCAGCTTTCACTAACTAGGAAACATTTATCATATTGATACAAACTGCAGTATTTTCCGTTCTTTAGGATGTAACATCACGAGACCTTAATTGCTCTTCCATTAAAGTCAAGGATAAAACTCCCATTGTGGGCCGAGGGTCAAGCTTTCACTGAGCTGATATCAATGAAAAGAAATGCTTCCTTTTAATATAGAACAGTTCTGCTAAAAAAATCCCACAACAAACCAACATTTTTTTTCCCCCTTATTATAAAACATCCTGTGGCATTGAAAGGTGGACATATTTTAGTGGCAAGGACAAATGTCAGGAGTCATGATGAAAATCTGGATTGCCTCCTAGATTCTACTGCAATTTCCTGCAATGAATTGTTTTGTCTCTGCCTCCACCTCCTACCTGTGGCACGGAGATGAAACCATTCACTTCTTACACAGGGTTATTTAGGATTTAGTTCATGTAGCATATAAAGAAACATAGATAGAAGATACTGTACACGCTCCAGAGTGTGAAAAGAAACAACATGGATTGCTCTTGATTCTGTTATACGTGGAAAGGGAATGAGGGGGGTGGGATAGGCTGAACAACACTGCTTGGTGGAAGGGACCTGTTTCCTACATGACAGCAGTGCTGCCAATGCAAGTACAGCTGAGCTTCCTGCACTTTCACTTTGCTTCCCATTGGCTTTCTCCAGGTCGTAGTGTGCTTTTGGCATCCAGCTTTTCTCTGCTCCACCTTAGTGTGGACTGGTGAGGGAGGCTGCTTGAGACTAGCAAAGGGACAAGCACAGGGAGAGATATCCCCTCCTGGCATGTTCTCTCACCTACAGGCACTTTATATACCACCACAAATAGCAGTTCCCCCTCCAAGCTTAAGAAGGTACCAAATTCCTTAATGAGATTAATAAAGAGCTAGCTGTTCCACTGGAGTTTTACAACACAAGTTACAAAAAACTATCTCACCACCATTTAAAACACACACAACACATTGGCCTCAAGGTGAATATTGTGCTTGTTAAGCCTTGCAACATGTGCTTCTCATCAGACAAGACATTTATATCTCCTCATGCCTGCATAGAAAAGAGGCATTGAGTACATGCTCTCCTACCACACATGATAATTGCCCTTTCCCTGCAAAGAAGTGGAAGAGGTTTTTCAGTGCTGGATGACTCTCAAACTCGCTCTGAAGCAGCCCCTTTGTCTTAATGCTAGTAGGAAGCTACTTTGGTTTTATCCAAATAAAAATATTGATATAGAAACTCACACCAAATAATAGCAGAGGTATGAATTCATTGTTTCAGCAAAAGCTTCTATGCAAATTAACCCTCAGATAATTAAAAGTGCCTCCAGTGCCTGGGTGGGTAAAAGATCAAGCACATGCTGGATTACAACATAACCTGTGCTGCGATACAGCTTGAGAAGAGCACAGGAGCTCCCAACCTTTAGAGGTAGCAGGAGCAATTCCAGGAGCCAACATGTACCAACTCCTATTCATCTGTGCCCGATCTAACCTGTAAAGGACCGTTTGCAACAGCAAGACTTTTGTCTTGAGAAGCCAAAGCTAAACAGCAGGTCGAAACACGCACAACTGGATGCAGCGCAAGCAGTGGCATTGCACTCATCCCTGTGCGAGTGTTTGTCATAAGAGCAGGATGGGCAAACCTAAAATACAAGTCCCAGAAACCTGCAATACTGGTATCTCTGCATGTACTGCTGTTTAAGGAGTGTTAGCTTTGTGAGAGAAAACACAGCTTGAGTTTGAACAACTTACTCTCCGCTGAACAAACGCGGCGGTTTGAAGACTCCCAGCAAAATGTTTAAATGTGCTCACGGTGGGAACACACTCCCTGGGACTGAAACAAGGCCCCAGAGCTTTAATTCCTTTTCCCCAGAAACTAGATGTGGCACTACTGCTGATTAGAAATACCTTGAGGCTCAGCTTCCCTTTTACTGTAAAGCGCTGCAGCGAGAAAGAGCTGCTTGGTGTTTCTGGAATTAAACACAATGGTCATTTCTGCAGCCTGGTTGAAGAGCCATTGTTTCACTACTAAATAAATGTTCAGAGCTACATATGTATTTTTAGACATTTTTATACAATTTTTAGATATTATTTTTTTTTTAAGTTACCATAGAAGGTGACTTTCTTTTAGGGGGGAAAAAATATAGTTGTAACAAATATTGCTAAAATTCATGTTGGCTGGATCTACATCAGCTAATGAAAGATTTTACCCAGTTAGTTGATGGAATTTAAAATTTTATGTGTCCTTGTGTAGCAAGATTGCAATAGGAGCTTGTATACATATTTGAAATATTTTCTTTGTAGGGGAGAAAAGAGGTTGCAAATCCTTTTTTACATTAAAAAACACCACCATGCTTTCTTAAAGGTTTTCTCTTGATTTTACACTCTGACAGCCCCATAAAAGAGACATTTTTCTGGGTGAGCTCACCCCCTACTTCCTCTCCCTCCTGCCCAAGACCCCAGCTAACAAGTAGGTACTCCAGGAGGGCAGGAAATGCCCAGAGCAGCTGTGTCTCCTGAAGCACCAACAAACAGCAGCACTGGGAATTCCTGGAGAGTCAAGACACGCTTTTTACCGTGCTCTAGGGAAAATAAATAAATAAATAATCCCTATTTTCACTCAGAGGGCAGCCAAGACTGCCCTCAGTACCTTCTGGTTCATAGAATGATGGTATGTTTTGGGTTGGAAGGGACCTCAAAGATCATTTAGATCCAACCCCCTGCATGGGCAGGGACACCTCCCACCAGCCCAGGTTGCTCCAAGCCCCATCCAACCTGCCCTTCAACACTGCCAGGGATGGGGCAGCCACAGCTTC